GGGGGGGGGAGGTTAGAAAATAACAGTGAAAAAAAGAAGAAACCTGAAAGTTTTTGCGAAATCCGGCGCTCGTGCTCAGATGGATAAAGGTATTTAGTGGTAAAGATATCGCTTGAAAAGCTGGGACAGATGGAGATGCATTGTATGGTTCTGCGTTGCTGTGCACGGCAACAGTTGCTCTGGCCAGTGCTGGATCGTTCGGTGATCAGCCTTCTAGTGATTCAGACGTTGCTTTTGACTTCCGAAGGGATTACTGTTTCATTTGCTCTTCCAACATAAATATTTGGCAAATTTCCAACAGAAATATCCGATCCCCAGCACCTCGTTCCAAAAAGTCTCCGGTTTGGGTGACAGTAAAGCCCGTTAAGTTTCCTTCATGAGCATTTTTTGAACTGCTAATTGCGCCGTTTTGACTACTTTCAGCCGGTGATTTGGCATGGGTACAATTGTTAGCCAAGAATTTGGGCTGCCGCTGTATTTTGTTGCATAAGTTTCGCCTGTTCATTGATCCACTACATAATTTATCCTTTTTCCGAACTAATGTGGTTTTTCAGTGTTTGTACTACCAACACTGAAGCATATGCAACGATTGATGATGTTGGTGCCTGAAAACGATTTTTGCTATGGCAAAAGGATGACACGGTGAGCAATTTTTTTTTTTTCTTTCGAGGGGGTGGGGAGTGGATGGAGTAATAGAGAACAGGCGAGTTGGCATGGCGCAGTGGCGTTGCTGTCGTATTGAAAGTCGAATGCTTAACTCCAGCAATGAGGTAGCCTGGCACTGACATTATCACCATCAGGACTACTTGCGCGTTCATGGAAATCGATGGAGAGATGCGTTTTTTACCTTTCAGAAGTTTTTGCCTCCATGCAACTCAGCACTGTACTTCTATTAAGAAAAGGTGGAGATTGATTCTGCGAATATTTGAATTATTGCTTGAGACGAGCTAAGCATGAAATTTTAATAACCTTTTTTCAGCATCAATAATTTTTTGCGTACATTTTAGAGCG